CACTGGCTGCGCCTGCCACCTGATTGTTGCTTTAGCTGGGGAATGGTTGTGACGCGCTGTGTCATCCCAAGATTTAATGAAAGGCCACGCAGTGGATGTTTAAAGTCTCTGAAGAAGTGTAATTTCGCTTCGTGGTTCTGGGGTGATTTCCTTCCCTGCATTTCTTTCATTTTGCTTCGAGGTGGAGAGTAACAAACACTGCAACCTGAAGCTGTTTCCCTGTTTTTTTCTCATAGGGTTTCAAAACCGATTTAGAGCTCCCAAATAAAGCCCTTTCTAAGATAACAGACTCACAGGAAGTTGAGCTGCGAGAGCAGCATAAAATATGTAGCTCAGTGCAATACTGTGCATGACTTTGGAGGGCTGAAAGTAGGAAACAAGTGCAGTTTGTTTGTGTGCGTTCGATGGAATGGCTCATTTTCTTGCGGAAGAGTTCAAGGAGAAATGAGGCGCTATTACCACACTCGTCTGGCTCAATATGAGGGATAAGCGTTCAGTGGTTTGGCTTACTGACAGATAAACACGTCTCATCTCCTGGGGGAAGTGCCTGTAAAGGAAAAACAAAATCCTCTTTTTTCATCCTGCTTGTGCTCCTCCACTTCAGGACCTGTCTGCACCTGCCTTTTGGCAGCCAGCTGATAGCCGTCTGGGTTCAACCAGCCTCGATCCCAGGGACCCGGGGTCAGTAAAAGGACTTTTACTCAGGAGGCTGGTGGTGTAAATGTTGATCTGGGGCTGCTGTGTCAAGGGGCAGTTGTACCCTTAGAATGACAAAGTGAATCAATCCATGGTATCTGGACCTTTTGAAAGTATTCCATGTTGTTTATGCAAATGGGAGTACTACTTGTAGATGACATGCAGAGGCATTTTAAGACCTCTGCGCTTATCAAAACTGGATACAGGAAGGATTTGAGCTCCCATCATGTGGACAGAGGTAGAGTGAATACAAAGACAGACATGCAAGTGCTCATTACTATATGTACTTTTTTTTCCTTTTAGAGCCCAGAGTTGAAAGGTAACGTCTGTCTATTCTTAGTACCTGTTGTTAAAATGACAGCCTTTCGGTTGCTAATTGAACTTTAAGGACTTTAAGCTGGATTAATTACAACGGCAGACACTTTCATCCGAAGCGACTTTCGTTTGTTGCTTGTATTTACACAGCTGGAGTGCTTTGCCCGTGGGAAGAACAGTAGTGTTGACCATCTGGGATTTGAACCCTAAACCTTCCAGCTGCAGACGTCAGTCCAGACCCCTGATCGCTCCTCCACATTGCTGCCAACCAGCATGATCTGGGGTTTGTCTTTGATGGTCATCTCTCCCCACCCCCGGGCCTGTGTGACCCCCCCGACTGACATTCCCAGGATGCACTGGGGAGTCTGTGCTGTACCTTGTGAGACATTGTTGAGGGCTGGAAACGCACGATCGCTCATGCCCCCTCCCTGCCAGCAGGAGGCAGCGCAGAGCAAAACTGTGGGGTTTGTAGTTAGTTGGCAGTTGAAACATGCTCAACAGCTGTTTTCTGACACTCCACACACCTGCAGGTTACCAATCAATCCAGAAGGGTAAATACACACAGGAATTGCGTGGGCAGGGCTACAGGTCAACCTCCAGTGTGACTAATGTTCCTTTGCTACTCGCTGCAGAGAATAACAGCTCAGACTCGGATAAGTGTCCTTTTCAAGATGCAGCCCTGAAGAGTACCCTTTGATTCTTCAATTAAACACCTAAGAAACTCATATCCTTCTCATCTTACTTCCTTCGATGTATTCATAGATTTACCGCACCCTGGAAATTAATTTCATAATTTCAGCTCTAAATATGCAAAATGTATCCTTCTAGTCATTTTTCTTTTTTATGGTTGAATAATAAAACTCTAGGGTGTCAGCTAATCTGGAGCCATAATTTTTAACTGCAGGTAGGAAACGGTGGTGCAAGGCTCTCAGTGATTGAAAAAACAATGGCACACCAGGGGGCCTTTCTGAGCTGTTTATTTATTTCTTTTTTTTAAGGCCACCAGTGTGCCTGGCTGGCTTTAATACGTGCCCTCATAAAAGGAAATGGAAAGCAGCCTTCAGTCTGCAGCACAGAGTGGAGAGGAGAGAGGCCGGCTGAGTGCTCTGAACGCAATCAATAATTCAGAGCTGTGTGGTTCCTCGCCCACAAGAGTGCTCAGTGCCTCTCAGACGTTCGGAAACTGAATGTCCTCTCCTTCAGCCATGTCATTCCAAACACGTGGTGAAGTGTGTGCATAAAATCTGCGAGGTCAACCCCTCCCTTCCCCCCTTCCTCGTTTGAAACGCAGGAGCAGGAAGGTGCATTGGGAATTTCAGTAAAGAGGCTGAACTGCAGGACCGCGTCTTGTACTGTTGTCTTGCCAGACTGGAATCCTCAGGACTTTCAATCACCGGCGACTGGAGATGGCAGCTCACTCATGCCCCCTCCCTGCCAGCAGGAGGCAGCATGGAGCTAAACGGCAGGGTTTGTAGTTCGCTGCAGTTGGAACATGCCCAGCAGCTGTTTTCTGAGACCGCACGCACCTGCAATTAGGGAGGTGCAGAGACTCCAGTCTCCACAGGCCGCCTTTACCATTATTTTTTTTTAAGTCAGTAACGATCTGTTTGACATATAGCAGCCGTTGACTGAATCTGCTCCAATTATGTTAGTCATAACCGACCTGCCTTCTACAGAAACTAAAAACAACTGCCCTGCAACTAGTGCGATGTCTATGACTGCTTTCTGTAGGTAATGTAATCACCTGAGTTACTTGTGAAGAGTCTTGTTCTGTGTGGCGTACCTGCTACTCTCTAGGGTTTAAAAAGACAATCACGGAAAGGTGACTAGACAGCAGGCACTCTGTGAATTTCACGTTGCTATGTATGTATGCATGTTTTGGGGGCAATTAATGAATAGAGAGGTGGGAAAGTTTTTAATACTCTGCTACCTAAGTGTTTAAATTTCAGTTTTCTTCCTGTGTGCTGTTTGATGTACTCCCAGGGTTTGAATTCTAAGTAAAAAGGGTAAAAAATAATCTTAGCGAGGCGGATATGCCGTCTGCTTTCTCTGATACTCCTTGTTGTAACCAGCCACCTTCATGGATATCTGTATGAGTGGCAGGCAAGTACACATAGGCACATATACAAACAGTGAGACGGGTGTTTCATTCATAGATATGCAGTTATAGTTGAATATTCATCTGTGCTTTGTTGTGGTACTTATCACCCCAGCACAGTGTGTATATGTATGTATAAATCAATCTGGAGAATATGAAGATTATACTTACTGTACAGACATTCTGCCTGACTGTAGTTATGGGTATGATTCAAGCACAGGGGCGGTGAGGCAGAAATGAGATATTGAGGGGTGTTACAGGTTATTAAAACAAAGCATTCCTGGTGTCAAACCCGTTGGATTAATGGCCAGTCTATGTCTTATATTCATATTCTTAATCATCCTGGTAATGTATAAGAATATTTTGATGGATATTTTCTCCACTTTAATTAAGAAAAAAGGCTTGTGTCAAAGTTTTGTGGGTTTTTTTTTCCTGTGTCTAACCAAATGACGCGGTGGTCAGTGTTTCTCTCATGCCGATATAAATTGGAAAGGACCGGTTCGTTTCTTATGCAAACCTTGTGCTACGCGGTGCAGCAGAAACTAAAAAAAAAGGGCAGTACAGATCTTGCATGATATGCACTTTGCAAACTAAATCAATTGATTGGTCCGAAAGACGTTACGATTAATTGCTGGTTAACAAAATCCCGCGTGTTCCGTTTGATGCAAAAATTGAACAGTCGTCACAAGTTTGCAGAAAATCGGGACTTGTACTGCTCAGTTTCTTTTTCGGGGTTCGAGCTGTGGAATTTGCGCTCCCTGTGCTGCGGGTTTTTTTTTCTTCATTATTACTTTTTTTTTTTGTACTGAACAAAGGGAATAGTTTTGCAAAAGCCTGTCAGTGTTTGATGTGCTGCTTCACCTCCACGGCGCTCCGCTGAGTGATCTCCTCGGAGCCTTTCCCAGCCCTATTAATAATGAATGTGCTGGCTGTAGGGGATCTGCGGCTACCGGGTGGAGCTTTCTCTGGGGCGGCCGCTGCGCTCCTAATTGGCAGAGTGTTTGTGTGTCTGTGTCTGCTGCCGCGCGTGTGTGTGGTGTGCGGCGAGGGGGGCTTTATTTTTCATTCTTTTTTTACGAGCGTCTGTTTGGATCTGTGTATGTTTGTGCGTGTAGGGTCTCTCGGCGCGGGCTGCAGTTTCGTACGCGTCAGAATGTATGGCTATTTCTGTATGCGTTTCGGCAGCTGCTTCTTGCCTGTACAGACTTGGAAAACGAGACATTTCAAGGGCGAAAGATTTTACCAGATGTGCCAAAGATGCTTGAATCCGGGTTTTTCCATCCTTTGGCTTTTTGTGTTGCTTTCGTTGACGTTCAGAGAAACAAGTAACGCCAAAACGCCACACCTATTTGAGAATATAGCTTTGGTTTTCAAATGGCTATAACAGCATCTTTGTGAATTCGCTTAGGAGACGTTGATACAGGTTTATCACAGGCATTTCACGTCTTTCAGAAGACAAGAGCGCATTGAAGAGACTCCCACACACTGTTCGGGATCTCCTAATGGCCTCGCAGTAACAGCCTTTTACAAAAAAACACTGCGCTCAACACGTGTGGCTGACTGTTTAGAGCAGACACCGATATTTCTAATGGGTGCATTACGTACGGTCTCCCTCTTTTAAAATCATTTATATTAATGAAAAAAATTATCAACTCAGAAATATCCCAGTTCTCAACAGCCCCACTGTTAAAAACAACAGCAAATATGAACAACTGTTATTGTTTGATAAAGCCCTCAGGAGTTGTGTATAGATTGTGTATTCACTGATCCCTCATGCTCTCGAGTTCTGAATTGCTGTCTTTCTTCCAATCGAGCAGGCTGTCAACATGGCTGGGGCAGTGCCTAGCGGTGCCCATCAGTAGCGAGAGGTGACAGTTTCTTGTTTCTACAGGTCTCGCTGGCAGAGGAAATCAAGCCCTTGAAGTGGTATCCATCAGTGTATTTGCTGGTGTCTCTCTTCCCCCTCATTAACAGGTAAGGCCTGAACATGTCTGCCTCGTTCCATTTACCCAAGACACGCACGTCTTCCACACTCGTTTTCCAGCGGGCCTTAAAATAACGGCGTTGAGTTATTCGTTCCTGTAGTCTGCCGGCTTATGCCTTTCGCCCCCCTCTGCCAAGATTGTATTTATTGCAGTTCAAAGATTGCAGCCGGGTGGAGAGAAAAGCAGTTGCAAATGTGGATTGTGTAGATGCACTAGCCTGTTGTTTCCATGCTGTTTTTTTGTTTAAGCTTTTCTGGGGGCTCTCATCCTCATGTGCCAACGTGACATTTTCTTAACAGTCCAGCGCTGCCTTCAGTGGCAAGTCTGCATGTGGGATTCACAATTTTCCAAAGCAGCACCAAAGCTCAGAGAGTCGAGGGGTGTTTCCGCAAAGCAAGCGCCATCACGCATACCTCCTTCAGCTGCCTGGCTGGTTCCTCTTCAGTCGGAGCACACTCTGTCTTTAGGAACAGGCTTTTGTCTGTGAAAGGAAGCAAGGATTTTTATCTTTTCTCTTCATTAATGCTGTGTGTGTGTTTTTTTTTTGCTGTGTTATTGCCCATAGAGCATGTTAATAATGTTTCCCCAAATCCTCTTCTTGCTGCTTTGATGATTTTTTTTTATGCATTTGACTTTCCTGGCCGAGCCCAGTACGTTAGCACCGTCAGGCATTGCTTATTATGTGGAGCCTAATTCCCAGGCAAGATCCTCCAAGGCTGAGGTCTAGGTAAGGTATCTGCTCTGTTGTGATTGCCGCATTGAGTGCCTGGCCAAGGGGCTGCCTGTTTTTGAATATTAATAGTTCTTAGCATGCACAGTGCCGCCTCACTTTCCCCCAGGGAGTTTGAGTGACAAGATGAAGGGTAACTAAGTGATTAGCTCCAGTGGCTCACTATTTATAGGCAAATGTTAATCTGGACTTGGGTCAATTGCAGGGTCGCAGCTCCCCAAAGCCCCTGGCTGAGTCCCACAGCCGCCCGGCCACCTCACTCCACATCGCTGGCTCCTCGGCCCCTGCAGTCTGAGGGGCCGTTCCGGGGACCTGCCATTTCCTGAGCACGTCAGCCGCAAACAGGAGGCACAGCAAAAGACGCCAAGTCGAGTGGCGCGCTATGTAATTCCTAGCACAAGGGATTTAATCCAATCGCGCTCTCAGTGTCTGTATTATTCATTCAGGCTGCTATTAATAAGATGAGTCCGGGCCGTGGAACTGTCCGACTGGCTGCGCAGAAAAATCATTGCATTTGATTTTTCCCCTTGAGGACGCTACCGATTTGTACCAGAAAGGGCCGACGCGGACTACACAGGCATGCACAAGCAGCAAGAAGAACACACACACGCTCACAGGCAGTAAGCAGCCTGCACTGATGTACAGACATATGACACTCTCTGCACAGATTGCGTTCTCCAACACGCAAGGCCCGCTCTGTTACAGCACACTTTTTCCGATATGCACAGACACGTCCTCCTCCGTACTGTGGTGCAGACGCTCCCCACAGACACCGGTGTTTGACATTTGTGAATTCTTCTAGAGCCCCAAACGTTTTCCTTCGTTTGTTTCTATTACACTTGGGGGGGGGCAGTTGGTTTGTTTTTGCATTGCGGGGGGGGGGATTTGAATCCATCGCCTTCCATTATATACATCTGATTCCGTCATTGAAAACGAAACGAAGCGAGAACCTCTCGTCACTAAACACCCGCCTCGCTTGGCAGGAAAGTGTACATTAAAAGAATTGCCGTCCTCCACTCCTGACACGGGCCTCTCAAAGACCTCGCTCTGGTAGGTGTTTCCTGTCTTTCCTGTCAAAGTGAGAGCTTTCAGGAGCTCAGCGTGAGTGACGGACGAGCCCACGCACACACACACATCCGCAGGTTCGCTCGCACAGTGCGCAGACAGGCAGCACGCACCCACAGAAAAAGGCCACTTGTTCCTGGTAGCGCTGCACTCGGAGCTGGGAAACTGAATTTGATCAGAAGGAGCAGAGGATGCAGTGCTAATTCCTCCAATCAGCTGCTGCTGCCTCTTTAATTTCACAATCCCAGCCAGAGCAGGAATTCTAAAGAACAGCGGGGGCTCCTAACAGGCTGAAAATTAACTGTGTAGCACCACCGTCCTTCAGAGAGAGTGCGAGAAAGCAGGGCCAGTTTCGCTTTTCCTCCTCTCTTCTGAATCTGCCCTTTGGTGACGGTGCCATGAGGCACTTCAGAGAGCGGGCGCACATTAGAAATGGTGGCAGGTGCCACACACAGAATTGGCAGGCTTTTGCTCGGCTGTTGTCCCGTGCTGCACAAGAAGAAAGTCTGTTCTGCTCCGGGGCTGAGACTGACAGATCTCTACCCCGTGCTAGTAGTCACTGTAAAGATCTGGAGGGCGTGCATTGCTGTAAAGCCAAGTTGTAAATCGGAGGTCGAGTCTTGTAACTCGTTTTTTTCAGGTCACCCTGTTAAAAACAGAAGCTTGAGTGAAGTCTCGGCCTCTAAGTTGCTCAAAATATAAATATTGTGCTGTAATCTCGTTTTATGATTTTTGCATTTTAGTCACTCTCCACTAAAGTACATATACACGGTATAGAATATTGAGTTTTCTTTGATGGGCATTTTTTGCTTTTGAGCGGATCAGACCTCTACAGTGCAAAACTGATGTAGCTTTCAGAACCTCACCATGCTCACAGGAATCGCTCTCTGTGGGAGTTTTCTGAATGTGTTGTCGTATCCCTGTTGTTACTCTCAGTGTTTTGTGTAAGTCTTTTCATAGTTAAAAACCTTGTAGCGTCTGAATTAGACTTAACTGTTCACTCAAAAATTACTGGTTTTAGGGTGTTTACAGTTCTGTCTTTAAATCTGTTGGAAATGTCTTCAAGTCAGAAAGTTAGATTTTGGTCATCTTAAAAATGTGTGGCACTTTAAGTTACAGACAGTACTTGCGTGTTGGTACTTTTGTTACAAATCCACGAATATGCGGCAGGAACAGAAGATTATATTTAATTAATTATCCAACAGTTTTTGCTGCAGTGATTTGCTGAGTCTTTTCAGTTCACTTCTTAGAGCCTTTCAGTTGCATGATAAAGTGTTTGAAATAGCAAAAGCCTGCAGGAAAGCCAGCGACATACAGGAAATGCACTCAGTCAACCCTGGGACACACATTACTCTCCTTCCAGTCCAGGAAGTCTTTTCATGCCTCTAATGAGGCGTTCATGGTGTGTGATTTTCAGACCCAGTTCTCGTGCTGTAGCTGCAGACTTTTGCCAGACGGGGGGCTTAGCTGGAATTCAGTGGTCGGGACTTGTCCATCACCCCTCCACAATGATCAAATTTGGCATACTTTATTAGCAGTGTTCGAATTGTCCTTCATGAAGCAAATTCTGTTTGTAATACCTTGGCCTTCTTACTTGTACAGTGCACCTTGGAGTCCTCTTGATAAAGTCCCCTTTGCAGCGTATCCGTCTGCCTTTGTCCTATACGTTAGCCTCTCCGTACTTGTGCTGCAGTCATTTAGTGTCTTCACTGTTTGTGGCTCTCGTATGTGCTTTGTGTATCTGTACTTAAGCAAAGGATGGCTTGCTTTTAGATGGATATGCATTTTAAAATGAAATGGAACATTACCTCAGAGTCAGGTCTGATAACAAGAGGAGGCCATACATCAGGCCTTCTAGCTCTTTTGGGCCTCAATCACTTGGCTGGGAAGACTGTTCCAGACACCCACATTTCTTTAGTAAAATAATCTAGTCAAATAATTTCCTATTCGCGGTTCCAAACAATTCCATTTTCGATTTCACTGGTGACTCTGTGTCCCTGATATGGAATGTGAAACAGTCCCCTGGATGAACCATAGCTTAGGATCTTACTCCAATCAAATCTCCCGTCTCTTGTCTTTATTCTAGACTGAAGAGGCTTAGTTCCTTTAAGATTTCTGTATATGATAATCCCCTGAGACCAGAAATCTCATTTCTGAATCTCAGAAATCATTCCTGTTCTCCTTTTCGGGCTATAATATCCCTTTTGTGTTATGGTGACGAGAACTGAACACAATATTCTTGTTATAGTGTATTTTAAAGCTTGAGTCTAGTAAGTAAATGAAACATTTTTGCATACTTTTGTATAGACACACGTCCGTGAGTACTGTACCTTCAGCAGCTGTGGATCACCCATGCAGTATGTACAGTGCATCCTACTTCCAGTTTGAATCGCCCTGCACTTTCACCCATCTATCCATCCTTCCACTTTCTAAACCATTTTATCCAGTACAGGGTCGCAGGGGAGCTGGAGCCTATCCTGGCAAGCTACAGGTGCAGGCTGGGCTACACCCTGGAGAGGACACACAAAGATACACACACTCGCACCAGGGCCAATTTGCCCAGAGGCCAATTAACTTGCCAGTATGTCTTTAGACTGTGCAAGATAACCACGCTGATAGCACCCCAGGTCTGGAGTTGAACCCAGGGTCCCAGCAATGCTCACCACTGCTCCAGCCCACTTTGCACTTAATGTTCAGTGTCGTTTGCAACGTGCCTGCTCAGTCACTAACTTTAAGGCTTTGCTAATTCCCATTCCCCTGTGTCTGTGTTTGCCACTGGCCTTGTTTCTGTATCATCTATAGATTTAATCCCAGCTGGTTAGTGACATGAACTGGGCTCGAACCTGCAGTCACTGAGCTCAGCCTGCTCTTGTGCCACTCAAATGAGAGGTCCAGGATGTTTTTGCTTAACTATTTATAGCAAATGTAACAGTTACATATTTTAGGAAGATATTTTTAGGAGTTTAAAAATCCTTTTTAAGATTAAATACATCACTGGATTAAAGGAAGCAGTGCTTATTGTTTTTTTTCTTTGATAATAGTTTGCATGCTATAATGGATGCAGAACCAAACGTTTCAAATTGTCACATAACAAATAAGCTTGAGTAGCATGTGACGTTCTGTTCATTCAGTTGATTTGTTCACACGTTTCCTTTAAGCAGCCAATAAAAAGACAAGGGCAAATTTCACCATCA